CGCCGAGGTTCGAGTAGGCGGGGCCAAACTCGGCGTTGATTGCGATGGCGGCGCGGAAGGCTTCGACCGCCTCGTCGAGCCGGCCGAGTGAGCGGAGCGCGTTGCCGCGGTTGTTGTGCGCGGTGTGCAGGCTCGCGTCCAGCTCCGAAGCGCGTGCATGCGCCGCGACAGCCTGCTCGAGCCGCTCGGTGCCGCCGAGCGACTGCAGAACGTTGCCGCGGTTATTGTGGCCGCGCGCATAGTCTGGATCGAGGCGGAGCGCCTCGTCGATCGCATCGAGCGCCTGGCGGGGAATGGGAGCTCAGCCGTGCGGCGCCGGAACGGGAGCAGCCCAACACGGAGCACACCTCAGAGTAGCGTCCGACTGAGCGGAGCGCGGCGCCATAATTGGAGTGCGCGCCCGGGTCGTCGGGATGGAGCTGCCGATGGCGCTCGAACTCCTCCAGTGTCGGAACTTGCGCATACAGACACGTGAGGAGCAAGAACGCGGACATCTGGCGAGATTACAGTCGAGCGCTGCTTGGAGCTCCTCGCCGGCTCTCGGAGAGGCTAAAAGAGACTTCGCGAGTCTCCCGGCCCTGGATGTGCGGTTGATGACTGCACTCCAAGTGCTCCAAGTGCGCGTGCCGTCCTCCCATCCCTCCCTGTGTGGTGGCGGCGTGCCGTCCTCCCATCCCTCCCTTGGGTTGTCTGTTTTCTTTCTTTCTTTCTTCCCTCCCTTGGCGTCGCTGTTTTCTTTCTTTCTTTCTGGGCACGGGACTGGCGCGCACTGGCACTACATGTAACACAGGTACACCACGGGAGCCGCCTAAGCGACTCCTGCGAGGAAGAGAATTTTGCACGTTAGAACGCGCACCTCGGCCCCTTGAGCCTTGTCAGGAGCAGGATGACCACAAGGATCAAGGTCAAGGAGAGCCCCACCTGTGCCCCTGATCGTCCTTCCACAAATCCTGCTCGACCTGCTCGTGCAGGTGAGGCCCCTGTCCTCCTCCCCCTTCTCTTCTGGGTTTTCTTTCTCTCTTCGGCCCCAGGGCTACGTACGGCTCTCTTGCCCGCAACCCGATACCGAGATCATCCGGCCCGCTGGGTGTGCTTCGCTTAGCTCCCCGGCTCTGGGTGTGAGGTTACCGACTGACTGGATCTTCAAGAAGAATTCCGGCGTCCAAATAAAAACTAGCTAAACACCTTTCTCGCATACGTCGAGTCTGCCTGTGGCAGCCGTGCGAAGAGCGCCTCGGGCTCCTCCATCGAGTAATTTCCGCCGTGACGCCCCGGTCGCCGGCGCATGTTGATCCCAAATCGCGCTTGCGTCGGCTGGGAGAGGAGGAAGCCGAGGGCCGCGGC